TGAATTTAATAAAAAAAAAAGGTAATATTCTATAATCTAATTATAGAAATAATTTTTTTCTTTTATAGTAATTTTTGAATTTTTTTTAATAAAAAAAAAAATTATTGATTAAATTTCATTGGTTGGTTTGCATTTTTTAATCAAAAATTGAAGGATTTTTTGGATTTTTTTTTATACTAAATTTATAAAGAATTGAAATTTTTTTTTATATAATCTTTGAGTTTTTTTTTGGATAGTATTTTTTAAAACGAAACTTTTTTTTTTTTTTTTGTAATTTTGGTTTTTAAATATTTTGTTAGCTTAATTTTATATATATAAATATATATAATAATTTGATTGAAATAAAAAACTTGCTTTGATTTGAATAAAAATTTTTTGATCAATATGTTTATTTATTATTTAAAAAACAAATTTACATAAAATAAAAAAAATTTAAAAATTTTCTTAAATGTTAAAATCCTCAAATTTAATTATCATCATCTTCTTTATGATGAGAGTTGAGAGCATTAGACGCAAGATCAGCAAGTTTTAGTTTTTTGATAATTCGTGTTCGAGTAGTTACGCAAGTTTTGCATTTGCTAATGGTTGATGTAGGTTGTTGAATTTTGGCAGTAAATGTAGAAGTAATAACCTGCTGATCGATTTCAGAATTTGTGTCTTCGTCAACAAACATAGAAGATTCTTCACAAATGGTTGAGTTTTGTAGAGACTTTAAAGAACATTAATATTTATTATGTATCGGATTGTTGATTTTATGGTTTGCATAGAATTATTGTGAAGTACTTAAGCCGTTGAATTTAAAATTAGTGAGGATGATTTTGATAATTGACTATGGCATTTGTTTGGAAGAGGTTGAAAAGGTAGAAGATTGTTGATCACGTAAAAAATTAAAATTATGTAATTCTAAATAAAAATTATCTTCAATAAAAGTTAAAGAACCTGCAAAAAAATTGAAGAACTACATTTTACAGATGTTGTTTGATTTGTAAAATAACTGCCAGTCAGATGAAATAATATGATTTGTGTTTCAGTTGGTTTATCTTTTGACATATACAGTCAACCCTTGATATAACGAATTTTATGTCCTGAACTTCAACTTCGCTATAGAGCTATAGTGAATTTTTTAAAGAATTTGATTGGCTAGTTCATTATAACGAGGGTAAATTTAATATAGTTGTCCAAAAAATTCGTTATATAAAAATTCGCTATAGAGAGGTATGACTGTAGTCTGTTACGATGCATTCAAACTGGATGCCAATTTTATTGATAATAGTAGATTTAGAAGCCAAAGCTACACCTACTACATTTATCTGATGAATAGGTAAATCTTCAAGAGGAATGTGTAAAATAACCGCAGAATTTAAAATTAGTTAAAATAAAATTATATAATTCAAAATAAACAAAATCAACATATTAATAAATGATTCAAGTGAAGTTTTGGATAGAGATCTTCATTATTACTGCACTACATACCGTAAGAAAAATTCTTAAAAATATATATTTTAAATTTTGTGATGATCATGTGAGAAATCGAACCACATACACTATGATGCTAATTGACTTATTTGAATTGAATCTGAGCACTGCTATAACCAGAACTCCATGTTCTAAATGAATAACTCATGAACGCATCATCTTCAGACTGTAATGGATGTTAGAACCAGTTTTAGCAATATGTGATAAGCTTAGGACAACATGATTGAATAATAACAAGAATGTCAAAGAAAATAACCAAGATTCTGAAAATCTGCAGTAATATTGTGAAAAGACGAAAAGAAAATAAGAAAGCATTAATAAATTGTAATTAATAATGCAAAATGAAGACTATAGAAATTAAAAAAAAATGAATAATCAAAATTACTTAATAAGCAAAAGTGCGATGATACACTGAAATTTTTATTGAATATTTTGAAAAATACAGAAAAAAATTGACATATAGAGAAAACAATTTTAAAACTACGTTGACAACAAAAAAAATATATTGCTACAAAAGAGAGGAAGGGGAGCATAGCCTTATGAACAGCCAAAACGTACGACAAAGCATAGTTCAAGGACAGCTGAAGCGTACGGCATTCTCCTCGAATAAAAATTAATAGTATCTGGTCATGAAAATGAATATGAAAAGAGAAACTTATACTTAATCAGCATGAGGATGACAAAACCTCATATGAAATCCATATTCTACACTTCGATCGAAAAGTTGTTACATGATAAATCTGTATCTATCATGAATTATTTCTAAATCTCTTATAATCCTTGAGTTTGTACTTGTGAATTTGTTTAAAGAAGATTTCTTTCTCGTTAAATTTGAAGGAAATCTTGATATAAGGTGTTATAAGCTTCTTGGAGATCTTGGAACCTATTTTCAGTTTGAAACAAAAAAGTAGAATGTTTCACTAGTAAATCACGTGCTTGATCAAATTTGACGAAAAAATTTCTGTTTATTCCAAAAAAGTTGCTAACTGTTCTCGTAAGATTAAAACTTCTTCATGACTCTCTTGATGACCTATATATATTAAATATATATAGAAAAGGGAAAACGTTAGTCTATGCGCAACTCAACTAAATGAAACTAGTCTAATGAACCCAGCCATTTCCAAAATGATAATTGCAATTCAGAAACTGTCCCAATACAATAATTACAGTTCAGGCATTTCACCAAATCCACCAGGTAGCTCACCTTTATTACGTATTTATTCTCTTCTCTCTCTTTTGCATTCTCTTTGATGATTTGACCAACCCTTCTTTGTATTTGACGACATGTATGAGTCATGTTTCTGGAAATAATATAGTAACTGAAAAGAAAAATGAGAAACATATCTACATTAATATAGCGTTTATATTAACTTCCTTCAATCTTTGGTCTTTCAGTCTCAGAAAGTATTGGATGTGTAACATTCCCTCAATATTTTAGTAAACTCAAATATCACAGTAACTTTAAGTATTATTCGTTAAATCTTCAATGGATGGAAAGTATTTTATCAAAAGAGAAGAGAAACAAAAACTTATAAAAGGAAAATAATGCCAAACAGCTCATAGTGGAATTATCTATTATAAACAAAAGAAAGATATTGTAAAAGTTAGCAGAGAGTGACACACTCGCATTCCATGTCTAGGAAAGCAAATTCCTTTAAATGACTATTTCTTGAGCCTTGCTATGCTAACAATCTTGTAAACTGTATCATTAAAACTTTGGTAAAACAGGAAGCGCAGTTTACCTAATTGAAATTCTCTATGATACTTCTGAAGTTTTAGTAGTTTTAGTACCTATTATATTTTGAAATAATAAAAAAGACGACATTAATATTGCAATCAGAAATTTACTTTGAAAAGGAATTAGAGAAAACCTTTCAGAAAGAAATGATAAAATTATCATAGGGGATAAGAGATTATAAAAAGAGAAAGAGATACTCCTAATTGTATTATTCCTGATGGAAATGGAAATCATAAAAAAAGTTAAACTCTTGACTTCTTTGTTGTAATTGATCAGCAGCATAAGCAAAATTTTAGCAAAGTTGGTTAATTACTTCTTGTAAATCTTGAATATTTTGGGTATCAAAATTTTGTTCTGAATGTTCAATTCTCAATTGTACTTGTGAATATTGACCTTGAAGATTAGTATACTGGGATTGTAATTCTGTAAATTCAATATCTCGATGAGAAAGACGTGAAGAAAGTGTATCCAAATCATTTTGAAGATGGTTAATTTCAACTTGACTTCTTTTTTGCTGAAAACCTATAGTTAGGCAAAAGTGTTAGAATGCTGCAGTCAAACTAAGTAAGGTCGAACAAACTGTTACAGTTCATACCAGCTGATACCACAAGTTATATATAGTCTTAGCTCAGGTAAAACTTAGGCTAGCATGCAGTCTGTATAAATTAATCTTCCAGATTTATAACTATTCTTAAGCCCACCTATCTTACGACGACTAACAGGAGACTTCTTTTTGTTATTACGAGTCATAATAAAATTTTATGAGTTTGAAAATTAGCAATAATTTTGGTAATATAAAAAATTTTCTTTAAGAAAAAGGAGAATTTCATAAAGGTGATTTTTATATTTGAAAAAATCAGCATGAAAAAAATTTGAATGATATGGGAAAATTTTCTTTTGCAGAAAAATAACCAAAAGGATATTGGTATCTATTGGTTGATGATGATCAACAAACAAGAAATTTGTAGAATATGACTAAATCTTGTTTATTGATCGATAAAACATGATGATCAAAATAGAACAAATTGATTTGATTAGACAAAAATGATGTGATAATTTTAGAATTTACACAAATGCAACATATAAGCTTAATTTAGTATCTATACATTCAAAAGTATAAGGAGAAAATATTGCATGATTTTTTTAAGAACAAGATATAATGCAGAAATTCTTAATATAGAAAAATATTTGCAACTATTTTACACAGCCTGCCTTAGAAAAGTTTAGTCTGTATAATCAGTTGATCAGAAAGTTAATTTTAGAATTGTGTTCAATTTTACAAGGATTTTCCTCATGGTAGATTACTTGAAAATTAAATTTGAATGAAATTTCCTGATATGTGATTAGATAGTAATTCTTGAATGAAAATCAGATCAACAGAATTAAGCCACAAATTGTAAATAATTGATAAAAATCAATTATATTAGCCACAATTATCAAAAGAGAAAAATAATTTTGAATCAAATTATGAAATTGCAAATAGGTTGAGAAATTTTTTTGAGATTTATATAAAAGAAGTATGCTCGAGAACTTGGAATTACTTCATCGGCTTTATCTAAACGTATTAAAAGAAGAAAGAAAGATTCTTCGACAGAGCTCAAATTAAAGAAAAGGGAAATATAACAGTGTAAAATTTTGGTTAAAATCTGATTAAAAATTCAATGTCAATTAAATGTCCTTATTTATCATCTCGTTGATCCTGATGTCAACTTTATGTTCTGAGACAATCAATGTAAAACATTGTAGATTCAGATGTCAATTTTATTTCCAGTGTAATGGGCAACTTTATTGACATGATCATCTTTGCTGATCAATTTTGTCAACTTTATTTCCTTAACGATGTCATTTATTTTTCATAGATATATTTATTTTAGTTCATTTTATAATTATCAAACATGTATAAATACCTTTGTATTATTATTGAAAAAGGATACCAATGAATAAATCCATCAATTAATACATACCTTAAGAAGGAGTAAGGATAATATTTCACTGGATGAGATTATTACCTTATGACTTTACGAGATAAAGAACTTACAATTTATTATATTATTAATAAAGAGTATAATTAACCAAGTTAAAACTTATTCTTCGCAACCCTTTTACCTGTGTATATATTATTATTGTTTATTAACTTTGCGTAATATTGTATTGATTCGTTGTATTGACTTAAGATGTAGTCACTTAAATGTAATCTCTAAAATATCCAGAAGTTACTCATGTGTAATTGAGAATAATCTTTGATGTTTACTACAAATCTTCGTTGTGATTCCCTGAGTTTAGTCTTAGCATTATTAATTTTTGTGAATTTTATTTGAGTTACAAATCAGACGTAACA